AACATAGGGAGAAAGGTAATAAAAATAACCTAATTTGATCAAAATGCAGGACATATTCTTTAAAGGAGGAAGCAGGGACAGCTCTGCTCCCATTCAAGCAGCCTGTGTTGTATCACTTAAAGACAAGTTTAGAATCCAGGCTAGACAGCATCGTTTCACTCTTCTTCCAAGTCATCTGCAGTAAAAAAACTTGTCCTGTCATGGAAAGCAGGGGAGAAGTTCTTTCTGCAGATTCAGAATGGCAGAAAGGAGTTTCTATGTACAACTCTGAAAAGGAAGATAAACATTTAGAGTCAAGATTAAAGGACAGTATACTTAATGAATGAGAGAGTGAGAGCCAAGGTATATACAGAAATCTAGACACTGATAGGAAGGTGAGGTTGTACTAACAGAATAAAGATTCAACTGTATTTCAAAATGGTCTATCAACCGAGCAATAAGAATGGGGATTTGGGTGACCCCTTCCGCTCCCATCAAGAAATTCTGAAGGTGCACCCTTTCTCCTGAGCAGAGAAGTTTCTCGGACTTTGGAGCTGCAGTACAAATGCAAATCAGCTTTCCCTATGATCCCATCTGTGCTGTGAAGCCACCAGATTGCTCATACGTTGTAATGTAGAGGCCAGCATGGGAAATCATGGCTCCTATTCCCATTCAGTATGACCTCTGCGCTCTTAGTAATAAAATATGTACTATACTTCCAGAGCATTAGATGATGATCAAGACCTACGATTCAAACATGGACAGAAATAAATGCACATTAACTTGATTTCATGACAGTCTTTCCACTAGTTATGGAAGTAACTCAACACTTTAATGCCTAGTTACTGACTGAATGCAAGAGTAAGCAAGTTCAGATTCCTCAGTGTGGGGGACCAAGTTTAGGGTTTCCTTCAATTCACAGCTGGAATGCAAACTATGGCAGGTACTTACTGGATCACAGTGAAAGGTTTCATAGCCATCCAGTAGTGTCCTATACTCCTTACACACCAGCTGCCTTTATCACTCACCTTTGTACAGTCTCTCTGGATGCCTTTATATCAGCATTTAACCTATACTGGAATAGCATTTGTTACACAGAACTCTAACACAAGGCATCTGACTTATGAATGGGAAAAGTCCGAGTGCTACACAGGCTGGCACAAAGAAAAAGTATCCTAAAGGCTTAATTTATCTGCCCATAAACGGCAATGGGGATGGATGGATGCCAGTTATTCAATAGTATTCCATCAGCCTGTCAGCAAAGGCAAGATGACTTACGCTGAGCATCTTAAATCTTTCAAGAGGCACAAGTGTGCCCTACTTGCACTTGCATGTTGAAAACCAAGTAGCACCCTACTGGGGAGATCATACCCTCTTGAGGAAGTATATCTACTTGCTGGAGAAGAGTCAACTTTCCCAACTGCTCCCAGGAATAACGTGGGCTGAAATCCCACTCGTATCCTTAGAGCACCCACATGGTACAGATCTGTGTAGTGTGGGCTCACATATATATTGAATGCAATATGAACCCATTCTGTACCTGCTTGTTGCAACAACTGGAGTTTAATCCAGTTGCCGAGCTATTATTTCACACTGGGAGAGTTAAAGTGATCAAAATTCAGGTCTGGAGAACCGGGAGGTTTGTATTCGGATTTGACACACATGGCATTCATCTTCAACACTGAAAACACTTACACTATTTATTTCACAGTCTCAGAAGGTAAACAACTCTATCATCTGCTTTAAAATGGCTAGCAGACAGCATGAGCCTGGTGGACCTGTACGGAGCAAGTATCGAGGAAGTGTCCTCTGAACATGTAAGAAAACCTGTCAGTTTTGACCACGCACCTGCAGTACTACTTGATTGTATTACCCAGCAGAACATAACATTATCCTTTTCTTTTCACTCCAAGTATGAGCCTTCTCAGCTAAGAGCTCCTCAGCAAGGAAATCAAAGCAGCGTAACAACAAGTTATGAACAATTACCTATTTTTGTGCATCTGTGAAGGAGACCTTGATCTGTACTGACTCCCATCTACTGTGGCATCTCTGATGTTACAGGGCTAGCAGGATGGCTTTGCAATGGGAGCCCACCTCATTCCAAGTATCACTCCCAGGTGGTATTGTTGTCTGGGAGCAAATCAGTTTCAAGGGCTGACTTCATAGTGGATTAAAAGAAAGGGAAAATATTCTTGCAGCTCCTGACAACTTCCCCTGAGAATTAGCACTACAATAAAACATGCAGCTGTGTGAGAATTCCCACAAAGCAGAAATCCTTGCAGCACAGAAAGAATGTATAAAATTAAGCCAGTTAAAATAGCAGTATGATCTGTCTGAACACCTTTCTGTCAAGGCACAGGTTTTTCATACAATTTTTATGATCCTTTTGAGGACAGCAAGATGGTACAGAGACCGGTCAAGGATAAATCCAAGGAGCTGGAAAAGAAAGGACCTGAAGTTGCACTGCTCATTGGCATTTCCTAGAACAGGTCACAGAGCTGCACTGCCAATCTGTGCTGTGCAGGAGGCGGGCTGTGCCCTGTGTGGTACAGCCTGCCTCAAGGCAAAACAGCAGAGCACCTCAGTTTGGCATCACTGCACGTGGGGACAAGCTAGCTTTCCAGAGGAAGGATGAGCTTTTTTCTGCAATGCTGAACTATGTTCCCCAAGAGATGGGGGTAAATCACTCTGTGGCTTTGGTTCAATCCTTTATTACTATTACTGATACTTTCTCTGACCAGAACCAGAAGTCAGCCAAGCAACACACAGACCCGTTCTCATTCACTACTGCTGCCTTGGAGCATGCACTACATCAAAACAACAGCCCAAGAAATTCCCTCAAGAGTGCAAGTCTGCTCCTCAGATCAGTACTGCAACAAACTCATGTAATAACCTTTTCAGTTATCTCTGCCTTTTCTTGGGTACAAGGCAGACCCTTCTATTCTACCAAGTGAAACACACAATACCAAAAGCTATTCTTCCGCAGGTGAAATTTTGAAAGAGCTACTATTAACAGAAGGTGTATGGGGTCCAACAAGAGAGCAGATCACTTTGAATGACAGACTGGAATCCACATGGATTTATACCCCTCCTCTATATGTGTGGTAGAAATATTCTCACCTACAGGAATAACAATTCTTGTAGATTCAGGTTTTAAGCATAAAAAAAATAATCTTGGAAGAGGGGTTGGTTAAGTAGTTCAAATAGCAAAACTCTCCAGTGTACAATGCTATCATTTTAGATAATGAGACATTTCTCCATTTCCAAAAGGTTAAAGACAGACCATAAATTCTGCATCTAGCAGCCCATGGAGGCTTCTCCTAATAGCCCCGACAGTCATCATTTCATTGTCTGGGATGCATCAGGAGCAGTTAATGCTGATGAACTGGATGGCTTTGTGTTCAGAATAAAATAGGAGTAAGTGAGGCTTCATGACTTAAAGCTGCTACAGAGCTTTCTGCAAAGAAGCTGCAGGATCAGAAAGGTGGGGGTGGAAAAAAAGCTTGCCACCATCTACAGTGAAACTAGTTAGTTAACTACAAAACACTTGCTGGGAGAAGAATGCAAGAGGTCATTATCTTACTATAGCCTCCATACAGCATAATCTCTGCAAACCAGACTTCAGTATTTCACAATACTGTACTTCACAAAACAGTAGCCAACCTGTATTTCACAAAACAGGTGGCAACACTGTCCTTTAGGTGCTGGAGAGCCAGAGGATGCGTGCCTCAGCCATCTGGAACTCTGTCAGCACACAGCGATGCTGGACATATAATGCACAAAGATTTGCATGGCTGATTTTCTGCTTCATGCCTTGGCAGGGGGACAGCAGAGATGAGAAGCCTTGCCCTGCTGACCGCTTGTGACAAGAATTTGCTTGGTGACAGAGACCCTCAGGTGGCCAGATGAAACCAGCCATCTGTTAGCTGTGAAGTTGCACGCAGCCAACTTCATGAAAAGGTAAACATTAAAACAAGGAAAAAAATTAGAAATTTAAGAAAGGATGGAGGAAAAAAATGATTAGCCATGCTGCAGATTTTTATTTTTATTTTTCCAACAATAGAGGGCATCAGTTCTCCATCCTGTCTACAGCCCTGGCCTATTGCAAGCTCAGTGTGATACTCGAGGCACTCAGCAATCCCTGGAGAAATAGACAGCAATTTCATTTTTTACAGAGCAACAATTTTGTGTGCGCCACCAGAAGCAAAAGAAGCAAGAGGCCTAACGCAGGCTTCAGGCAGTCAGACACCACTTCTTACTTGTTAAACAAGGAAGATGCTTTTGGTTTGAGATGCAGAGCTGCTTTTACACCAGGCATGCATCCTCACAAGAGCCATTTAAAAAACACATCAGCTCTCCAAACAGACATAGAACTCAGTTGGAGTCGCAAATCTCCCACTAGCATAGGATTCCTAACATATAAGATGGAATGAAGGAAAGAACACTGCATCCTGAGAATCTCTATAGCTTATAAAGGAAGGAAGAAACAGGAGTTGGCCACTCACACCACAGCTATTGGCACAGGCACACCTCTCAGAAGGCATCTTCTGTGCACTGTATGCTGCCCCACAGTTCAGTGCATGGCAGTGGGAGCTCTGAAGTGGGCCTTCTTTAGAGGGGAGCATTTCATTGCACAGTAGACCTCGGGGCGGTGTTAGTGCACTTGGTCCACAAAGTCAGCCCAGGACAACACCAGAAGCAAAACTCCCATCTCCAGAGTCCCTGGCACTAATACCACATCCACATGGGCTCCTTGCCAGAGCAACATTTCTGGGCCCTGATACTCTGAACAAACACATCCTACTCAAAGCACTGGCTATATCTCATAGACTGTAACCCAAGCCTCTATGTGGAAATTTCCAGCCCAAGAGATTGAACCAGAGGGGCAGATCTCTCCAAAATCAGTTTCAGCTAATGAAATGGCATTGAGCATTACCTTCATGTTAGCCCACCAGCTCTGACACTTGGGAAAGTCAGAGGTGACAGTTCAGGTCTCAGATTCGGGAACATGAACGTTTTACCTGTGAATTCCAGAAAAATCACACAGCCAAGTTCTGTCACGTACTGAAGTTTCAGCTCAAGGGAAATAGGTAAAATACGTGCTCCCTTTGGGAAAAAAAAAAGAAAAGAAATGATTTAAGTGGCAGAGGAACTGAGACTTATAGGGAGTTCAGTAAAGGAAAACAACTCACAATCCCACGTTGCATGGAACGGTCAGTAGCTGCTACAGATATAATTTATGCTGTAGACTCAAGCACATCCCAAATTTACAGTTTTAACTATCAGTGCAAATCAACAAAAAAAAGCAACATGTGAAAAGAAAGCACTCATACTTAAATCCAATAGCATTCACTAAGTAAACATTTCAATTGGGTAAAGCTCTGGACAAAGTTATGGAGTCCTATTTTTCCTATTGACAGGAGCTGGATTGGAAAACAACCAAAGCTTTGTTGAAATAACTGGTATAGCTCCTTCCATTTTCTGTTAGCATGCTAACTATGAATAAATTATGAAGGCACCATTTATTTAAAAACATACTTAAAATCTCTCCCTTGGAAGCCCTATAGGGTGAACACTCAGCTCTACTTATCTGCTGCATCAAACAAAATCCCTGTCAGAAGCAGCATAAAGATAGAGCAGATGACCAGAGTAACTCCTCTCCTCCCTGCCCCATCATTCCTCTGCTAGAGCAAATCATCATTTATTCCCATTTTCTTCAGAAAACAAAGTGTGCTGAAAGCTTTTGGTGTCAAAACTAAGCATATAAACAACAGAAAGTAAAATTCCCCCCAATCTAGTCTAAAATTACAGATCTTGTGGAATCTAGGTTTTCAATGAAAGCCCCAAAAATATGCTCATATGGAAAAAGCAGGCATTTTCTATGACATTTTATTTTTATTGCATTAATGTTTTAGTAGGAAAATTCTGTCCATTTCAGCCAGCTGAAGGGTGCAATATGCTTGCACTTGCAGCTGGACAGTCCTCTTGCATAGTAGGGCAGCCATACCCACACTGCTTCCTTTGTTGCTATTTCTAGGCACCAGCAAAAAACCATCATCATGGCTGTTTATACCTGTGGTTGGTCAGAGTACTGTGCGTTCAGTACATGATAGGAAGGGAACAGATAGGACCAGGACAGTATTAGTGGTTTTAGTGGATTTCCTGTAACCTATGGCTATGCAAGAAGTCTGAAATCTGCAGTATCAGATCAGAGATTTATTTTTACTGCCTTTTCAGCTGGTGCTATAGCACAATTTAGCCTTTATACCAATAGAAAAATGCAAAATCTAGACTCCTCATGCCCAAACTCAACTTTCTACCACGAGTTACCACACTGCATTGAATTGAATAGCCATTACTGTTTCCCAGAATACTGCCCAAATTTGTAACAGAAAAATACTTCTAAGGCAACGTTGCTAGTGTTATCTAGATGACAGTACCTGATCATTATGGCTGAGATTGTCCTTTATGAGCAGAGTTTCAAGTTACCTGTTTGAGGATGTTACCCTGCTGAAGGTGCTTGGTTCTGGATATGAGCGTCCTGCACACCTGCTACAAGGCCATAGCAGCTCCAACCAGCTCTGTGCGTCACTTACTACTGCACAGTTCTTGCTATCCCTGTCTGGCGAAGGTTAGCCTCTTCCCCATGTAACAGTGATGAGATGGAATGGCCTCCAGTTGCACCAGGGGAGATTTAAGTTTGCTATTAGGAAAAACTACTCTGAAAGAGCAGTGAGGCACTGGCACAGGCTACTCAGAGAGGTGGTGGAGTCATTGTCTCCAGAAGAGTTCAAGAACCAAGCAGATTTGGCACTGAGGGATGTGGTTTAGTGAGCAATATTGGTGGAAAGCAGACAGTCAGACAAGATCATCTTAATTTTTTTCAACCTTAATGATTCTGTGATTACAAAAGCCAGATGATTCCCATACTGCCAAATCAATTGCAAGCACTGTGAAAGACCATGTAGTCACCAGACAGAAAAACTTTAAGGAGAGCACAATACCAAAATTAATGTGCGGTCTCATCACACAGCATCACAGAATCATTAAGGTTGGAAAAGCAAGTGCTGTCAGAAAGAGGGACCCATTCTGGATGCAGCCACAGCCCTGACACCAAACAGTAAGGACCTAACACTCTAGGTCTCAGCACGTAGGGAGCTCAGGCTGCAAGTAAGGTTCTTGTGCTGGATGCCAACCCTAACGCTTTCACAGCCATGGTTCCTGCAGTGCTCATCTGCTGGGGATCAGCAGGAGAGGAGGAGATGGCTGCTAGTCAAGGACACAGCAAACCCATGCCTGTGTGCTAGCTAATGCAAGGGGCAGGGAGACTCATCCAAAAGCCTTGACCCATCCTAATTAAGATAAATGTTCATTCTTATAGCCGAACAACTCCGCAATAGATGAAAATCTCTTTAAAAAAAAAAAAAAAGAGTCTTCATTTCAGGATACCAAGCATATCTTTATAGACTGACATCTTTGCTTCTGCAGAATTTTTCTATGGTTCTTCATTTATTTATTTTATATTTGAGACAGATTTTGTTTCTTAAGGTCAGAAGCACTCAGTTTACCCAGCTATTTTTAGCCAAGCTGGACAGATTCATTGAATTATGCCATGAATTATTCATGGTACCAGGAAACTGCCTAGGCATTCATATTATATTTGAAAACAATGACAGCTTCTCACATTTTTGCTGTGCAACTACAAATCCTGGTGCCAGAGAGAGTCTCACAGGTTTGTCAAGAGGCCAGAAATGAGCCTGTTTTCCTCTACAGACCACTATCTTTATTCAAGGGTTAGAAACATGATGAAAGTCACTGAGGCCTATTACTATGAAGATGGAATATTTCTCCACAACGTTGTTTTATTATTAGCATCACTTAGATGCAATGTAAGTTTTGATATTTCTTTCCTGAGCTTAAAGAGCCACACCTACCAAAGCAGACAAAAGGTCCTCAGAGCAGAGAAAAGAACAGTAGGGAAGAAATTGCTGCTGACTGTTCTGGAAATATCCTTCACCCAACTTACTAATTATACACTCTGTTGATCACCTATAATTATGATCTGAAAGGAAATTCTACACCCTAGCAATTTAGCTGGTGTTTCTTTCTTAAAGTCAACCATTTCCACTCTAATGAACCTCAGTATGAAGCAGAAAAACCTTGAAGGGAAAGGCTACAGGCATGAAAATGAGTGCTCGCTGTCTCATTAACATTTTACTTGCTTGGCTAGGAGTCCTTTTGTTACAGGAAGCTAAGTGTTTTTATGGCCAACTCTCCTGAATCTGTAATAATATCCAATATGAATATAAGTGATTTCTGCTTTTAAGCTACTGAGACTCTAAATAATCTCCACTAAAGCTAATGTATCCACAGTCATTGTGCAGCACTAGCTAAAATACAAGTAATTGCTGCCTTGGCCAGCTCCACAGCCCAATTCTAAAAGCAAAGCATGTCTGGAGCTGAAGTTTCTTTTTTCCATTTGGTAAGAAGTTAACAGGCTGAGATGCCCCGGCACACAGCTAAGCTCCCAGCAACCATAGCAGTTCCCCTGCAGAAGTACAGCTGAACACACCAGTGACACACAGGTATTCCTCAAAGGATTTCTCAAAAAACCCTACAACGCATAATTTAACAAATTAAGAAGATTCTCAAGGAGCCACAAAGAATATATAGCTCCAAAGCCTATGCTTAAGACATTCCTAGAAATTAATATAGCAGTTAAGTGAAATTTAACAGCAAAGAAGTTACTGCTAGGACTCCTGCTGCAGTGGAATCCTTCACAAACTCCAGAAGAAATTCATCATATAAAAACAGCTCAAATAAAAAAAAAAAAAAAAAAAAAAAGGACAGCTAGTTCTGATTGAATGAATTTGCATGGGAAATGCAATTCTCCTGAGTTCTACTCTCACCTTCAGCGGCCAACTGGTTCCAAACAAAAATTAGCTTGATGAGGAGGGCAACAAGTAGGAGACAATACGTGGTCACACATCCACTTCACTGGCCACTCGGTAGAGAAAAAATGGTCAATCAGAATCATAGAACTGCCTGAGTTGAAAAGGAGCACAGTGCTCATCCAGTTCCAATCCCCTGCTATGTGTGGGGCCACCAACCAGCAGACCAGGCTGCCCAGAGCCACATCCAGCCTGGCCTTGAATGCCTCCAGGGATGGGGCATCCACAGCCTCCTTGGGCAACCTGTTCCAGTGCCTCACCACCCTGTGAGAAAAGTTTCCTCCTAATATTTGACCTAAACCTCCTCTGTCACAGTTTAAGACCATTCCCCCTTTTCCTATCACTCTCCATCCGTGTAAACAGCCGTTCTCCCTCCTGTTTTTCCAGCTACCTTCTCCCTATAATCATGAAGGGTTTAAGTGACAAAAGTGGAAGAAAAGATCAGCAGCAAGGTCAAAGGGAAGAAGACTAAGAAACAAAGACAAGTAGTAAAGATTAAACTATACAAATCAGTAATTAATGCCTCTACATATGACTTTCATTTGCTCTACCTTCCACAGAAACCAAGGCTGCTTAGATTTTTAAAAAACTCTATTATTAAAATTCAGAGACAAAAGCAGTGTGTGTCCCAGGCTATCTGATGCAAGAAGCACGTAACCTAACACAAGTGAGGCTCCTCAAATACCTGAGGACCAAGTAAAAAACCTTCCTCTACCCAGGGGAGATGCCTCTCCAAACAGAAAGCGCTCACAGGAAAACCTGTCTTCTGCTAAGGACTTAACCTGTACTTATAATGAGTGCCTTTGGGCTACCTCACTAGAGCTCCTAATGCCATCAGCACTATCCACTATAAGAACTTAGTAACTACTGCTCTTTTAAAATACTAGAAATCAGCTTTTCCTTAGATAATTACCCTTCTGCAAGCTGACTTATTACCAAGAAAGGAGAAAATTTTCTGATCTCACTAACATGCATTTGTTTCTCTAATTTCCATCATTTCTTGCAATGCAATCCCTCTGAGCGTTCCATAATACATGTACATCCCAAGAAAACAGAGTTCCATCTTTTATCCCCTATTGCCTGCTGCTTATCTCTTTCTCCCCTGGATCCTCATTGGTTGAATATATACCCATATTGTTTAGAACATTCAAAATCTATTGCAGCTTTGTGAGAAAGTATTTGTTAGGTAATTCGGTAACTGTGTTTCTAAAATATGTTACTAATATGTATATGGTATTCTTACTTTCCACATCAGCTATTTCTAAGGATATGTTACGGCTTAATTATTCACATCAATTGCCCTTTTCAATGTTCAATGCAGAAACAACACTTCCACTTTCCACACTCTTTAACTCTGTACTGTGTGGTCTCAAGTCTCTTCTGCTTGAGCGTGCCAAGTTTTATAGAGAGAAAAAGCTACAAGACTGCCTGTTACCATGAATCGTTAGCAGTCTAACTCAAACTTGTCTGATGAGCTTCGTGTTTAAATGAATGTTGATAGGCCACTAAGCACAACAACACTGTCACTGAAAGCCTGTTTTACTCAGTAAATCATAATTCAAAGAAGAGGGACTAGGTACCTGCTTGGTCCCAGTATATCATTGGTATCAATCACACAGGACAAAAATGTGAAACACTGGGCAATCTTGCACGCATTGGTTCCCACAATAGCTCTGAGAAACAAGTGGTCTCAGAGCAGCCAAAGAGAAGCTCAGCCAATAACTTACTATTCTGCTTCCAGCCATGACAAACAAACAGAGGATGGAAGAAAGGGTAGAAGATTGGCATGCCTCTTTCTCCAATTTGCTCTTTACACAGTCTGTGGTAGGATTTCTTAAGGATAGGATGCTTAAAGTGGGAGGAAAGGAGGGAGATTTAGTATGGAAAGTGCATGTAATTTACAGTGTTTGAATCAGTGCCAGTTTAAGTTCCTTTAATTATCAGATTTGCACTTCGTCTTGCTTTATGAAAAAAAAAAAACAAAAATGAAAAGCATTTTACAAAATGTGGGATTTCTGGCATCACAAAAAGTCATGAGGAGTCAAAGTCAGAAATGACTCAAACATCAGCTGCTGAGCATTTTCTTATACCAACATCAGCACCTTACTTTCCCAGTCTGAAAAGGGGTAAGACGTGCTTTTTATTACTGAGATGGTTTATCCCACATCTCTCCTATTCTTCAAGGGTACCTCCATTTAGAGAAGCTTCTCTAATGCAGATTGAGTCAGGTTCTCCTTCTGCATCATGACTATTTTATTCTGTCCCTAAAATTAGACAAGTACCTCTTTGTGCACACCTGTCATAAACAGATAAGAGCTTTGAAACTTTTGCCATATAGCCCAGACCTTGTATTGTAGCTCAGGGAACCAATTTTAAGTCCCAAAAGACTTTTGAACTACAGAACAAGAAAGAAAAACAGATTCAAATAAGGGTTTGTAGTCTTTGTTCACGGACACAGTAAATGGCACCTTGTGATGAAGACCTTACACAACACTGCAGGGCAGTACAATTCTGATTCACCCTGTGCACACTTAGGGCCAGGAACCTCCATTTCAGAAGCCAAACAGCACAAAATAGTGGGAAAAAATAACAATAAACACTTCCACAGCAGTTCTGATATGAGGTTTTAGCAGAGGCCAAGAACTTGCCACCAACAGCACATCATTTCAGAGAGACAGACCATTTATGAAGACATCCAGTGTTTAAAGTAAAGACCTTTTATCACAGAAATCCCACTGCAGCATCACAAATTGTTCCAGCAGTTGCATATTCTCACAGAAATATGTTGTGCTTTATTTTCAAGTGATAATTTCTACCTTCAGATTTCAGCTTCTGCCCTATTCTACAGAAAATTCTTATTTAAGCTGTGGATGAGTGCAGCCAAGAAAAGATTACCAAACTCAGTCCTCCCCAGGAGTAAAATCAAGAACTGAAAGTGAGATGCATTAGCATCCCTATGCAATAGGTAAGGGTAGACAGTTCTCTCAAAAGCATATGGACTGCTGGTATGCAATGCAAGACTAGGCAGTAGGATTTACCCAGGACATAGCCACGTCTGCATCCCTGACAGCTGGGACTTAGTCACCTCTAACTTCTGAAGACCCACCATCACCACACAGTTCCCCAGTGTACCAGGACAGAGCCATTCCCTAACGGTTAATCTCCATGTATTTTCTATTGAAGAACTACAGAGGATTCTGTCTCCTTTTAAAATGTATCTGACTGCGATAGTGACTACTTTTAAATATGATTGTTGTCAAAGCACTCATGTGGGAAGCTGAAAACTCCAGTTTAAATCTATCCTTAGATCACAGATCATTGGTAAAGCTTATATTTGTCACCACGTTTTTACATCAATAGAAATGCTCAACTCTGGTTGGGAAGCCTATATTGTTTTCTCACTGCCCGGCCTCAATTCTTGAGTTGTTCCTGGAGCAACTATAGGAACTGGGTAAAGTGTGCTACCCATCACCAGCAGCCTGCAAAGAACTCTGCAGTTTTGTCATTGTCCTAGAGTCGCTGTCAAATACAGGTTTGAAGTTCATTGCTCATAACCAACTTCACAATTGATCACACTGAACTTCAGTCCTGCACTTCTCAGGCAAATGTGCAACCTAGTTGCACAATGCACACGGCAGCAATGCAAGCCTTCCTGTGATTAATACTGTCCAGTGCTAGAGACTTCCACCATTAGAGCTGTCATCAATGACATCCTTGTGAAAAGACATCACTTCATCTTGAAGTATCTATAAAAGGATAGATCTGCACTGCTTCCCAAACCAAAGGAGAGTCCTTAAATGCATCTAATAGTGAGAACCGCTGAGTGCATTGGCTTCTGAAGTATTTTAGTATTAACTTTGTGAAGCTCTGCTATTTCCATTTTTTTGTGTCATAAGCAAATAAAATGTGATGATCCACAAGGGAAGTCAAGCCTACTTTTCTGCTAAGACAATCACCTTAATGAATAATTAGTGTAAGAATATTAGTAACATTAATACTTAATGAGTTGAATCTTCTTTGCATCATATCCTCTAGTTTCTACTTGCTAAATAAAACTTTATTTATTATCTTAAATTAAAGGACATTTCTGAAATGAGATACAATAAAATTGCAAAGAAGGGAAAGCTAATCAAGATAATTAAAATGAAAAATTGTTAGAATAATTCACTTTCACCTGCAGTTGCAGTATAGTTGAACCAAGAGTTTCTAATTAAACGCGAAAGTATGAGAAGTGCAGTTCAGCTGATTTGCATTTATGGAACTGGAAGAAAATATTACCTTATTAAAGTGAGTTTCAGAGGAAATGTCATAGCACAGAGGTTGGCCTGACTTGACTTTCCAGTAGATTATGCAGTCATTTATAAATTTGACTGCTTCACAGAGCCAGCTCTTCTGCAGCTCTAAATCAGCATGGTCTCACTGAAGTTAATGAAGCCGCATCAATTTATACCAGGTAAGCATCTGCCCCTAACCATTTCAATGCATATACTGCTGCACAGAGCAAAATTCAACCACGTCTGCCCCTATATACACCTTAGAAAGATGCCAATGAAAGACAGCATAATGCTGCTGCGCCCACATAATCAATTTATCCATATTCTGCCATCTGAACAAGGGCTGTAGCACGCCGTCTACCTCTGGCAATTTATTCCTGCAGCTACGTATAAGAAAATGGCCTGGATGATATTTGCTGGCCCTGTTTATCTGAAACCCAGCACATGAACAGTGCTGTTTTTAATCTGGTATGCAATGCTTGCTAAATTGAAAAAAAGTGCTTAACCCAGTGCCCTCATTCTGAGTTGACCCCTCATATCCGTAGCTGGGAAAGTATAAATATATGCAGCCTGGCACGATACACCACCCACATCCTTGATGGAATCTTTGCTTTCCTATCCGCACTCCCATCAGTGGAATTAACACAACATGGTTACAGCAAAAATAGAGAAACCAAGCTCTCTATCAGGGAAACTGCCTACTATTTCATAAACATGAAGTAACTGATGGCTGCTCCTGCATTATCCAATTGCCTGTGCATACATTCTTAATACAATATTATGAGGGTATTCCAACTATTTTATTCTGATTAGGTTATCTAAGACAACTCCTGTATCTTCAACGACACAAATAATAAATTTCATCTCACAGATATAGTAAAAGAGATCTCTAACTATTGGCATGTGCTACAACATCACAATTATGTCTAGATTACATATATATAATCCTTAGTATTGGCTGAATATTTACTATGTGTCTTGAATAGGAAACCAGAATTAGTCTATTGAAGAAGTGCTATTACATATATTTTATATTTTGTGCAAAAGAAATGGACTGTTTCCACTACGTTCTAAAAGCCTTTTCTAGACAAACTACAGCTTTTCTGTGGTCAGGGAGTCAGCTGTCAAACTCCTGTTACATCAGAGGCAAGGGTGACCTACTGGCAGAGGTAACAACACTCCAGCAGAAGAGATGCTTCAGCAAGGAGAAAGCTGATTTCCAGCTCTGCTTCATTCATTGCAGCTACAGGCCTAAATTAACCTTGCAAAACTGTCATGAAAATGTATCAGGCCAAGCATAAAATTTACTCTACAACTCTCTATCATAACAGAGATGACAAAAAAAATTAATGACATTTAGCTCACCTGTCAAGTTGATTGCTCAGCCCGACTAAAGAGCAACAGTGCCATGGAGCAGTCTCAGCTGACAAGCTCCAAATCACAGCCATGTTGCAGAACAAAAAATGAGGCAACGCCATCACACTAATTAGGGAGCTGTACAGCCTGGTGGTCTTCTCAGCTGCCAAGGCTAAGGGATGGATAAAAAGCCCACATTGACCGTGCTGTTAAACACAAGTTATGTCATCAGGTCAAATAGCCTTTCAACCCCATTTTACTTAAAGTATATTTGGCCGTTTTGTTTAATTTATCTCTTAAATCATTTCAGTTTAGTATTAACTGTGGAATTACACATGTGCTCAGGAAATCCATTTTAGAGAAACTAAATTATTTTAATACTGAGCGTACAATAGCCTGTGTTTATGTTGATTGCCTGTTACATATCAGAGGAACTCTTCCATATGCTTTGGGCAACTGTTGCTGAGATTAAAAATATTCAACAGTAGCGAATGGCTGGCTTGCAAGTAACCCACATCCACCATCACAGGCGTGATTTATTGAACTGTGGAAAGCCAAGAAATTCTTGAGACAGGTCAGTCCACAACCACTCCAGAAGTAGGAGCACATGTATGTCTTCCACGTTTACCTGGCCAGTTGTGTCACCGCCATTCAGGACAGCCAGAGCATGAGGAAGACGAATAAGCAAGTGAGAAAAAGGAACAGTAGCAGGCTTCCTACTTGGGCTAAAAACTCCTTGGGGTTATCAGGGTGTTACCCAGATTGCAGCTGACACAGCCCAGTGTACCAGAACAACGAAGTCAGTACGGGACAAGATCAGTACAAGACATTGAGTCTGTTTTACCCTTCTGAATTACAAAAGGGCAAGATTTTTCTAGCTTTATTTGCTACAAAGCAAAGTACAAGTCCATTAAAATCAACCATATTTGGGATGCTCATTCAGTCTGCAGAGCTGTTGGGATAGTTAGTAGACTTTCTATGGCTGCAAGTTGATCGTAAGTGGCCTCAGAGAACAGAAAGACATACAGAAAGTCCGAATTATCAAAGTCAACTCATACTGTTTCATCATACAACCTTCCAGAGTTACCATCTACCCTTTTTTGTAACTTCCACATAATGAGATTCCAAAGTCTAGAAGTGCCTCCCTTTTTTAATCTTTGGACAGAGGAACCAGGCACATCTTGAGGTTTTGGCACCTTCCTAAATCCAGGAGTGCTCTGTAAAATGGTTAGCTCTGCAGCATAAGGAAACGTCCAGGATCTAGCAGCCATTAAAGCATACAAGACATGCAAGACCTCTCTTACAAGAGAAACAATGTTAGTGCTGAAGCTACAGCTGACACACATTTATTGCTTAAATGACAAATTCACAGAACATTTGCTTCAATAACCTTTTTTGTCTGATGAAGTACATACTTACAATTTGAAGATATTGGTATTCAAGGTTATTTAATGAATTATGTGAGTATATCCATATTGCTAGGTGTTTCTGCTACTGTATTTGTGATGAGATTTTCATTTCGGAGGAGGAGGTCGTTGTGTACCAATTCAATTTCCTGATTAAAGAAAACTCAAGTCAAGGAGGCCAGAATAATATTGCTGCTTCAATACAATGTTCCATTTATCTAGACAGTTACAGTACTTTATCCAGACATTCCTGATGCCAGAATTCACCAGAGAGAAGCAGAGATGAAATATATGAAGAGAAGTTCTAGAGAACACTTTTTCCCCAATCAGTACATTCTCACAAACATTAGACTTAGAAAAATTTCCAGGAAGAGTTGGTAGATCTGATGTGTAGAATGAATGACCTGCATAAAAGAGCTGGAAATGAAAAACGTAAAACAACAAGACTCCACAGATTATCATATCAAATGAAAATTATTTTTCTGTCTCCTCGCAATATTTTGCTCTGCTATTGCGTCTGTTTCACTGATCTAAAAGCCAGACAGCCAGGATGAGGCACAGAAAGCGTAGATTTGCTGTCTTCCATCCTCTCTCCAGAAATAGTCCAGTTTCATAATAGTATTTATAGCATGACCCCTCAATCAGCAGTACCAGCATGGCTGAGAGAGCAGGGAACAGCCATGCAAGAGCTTCAACTACGCAAAAGCCAACATTAAACCATAACTCTATTTCTGCAACCCCTGCTACCCCTCCCATCTTTCAGAAGCTGCTATCTTGGAAGACACATCACAGCAGGATGTCCTACTGCTGTTAGTGTTGACAGAGTAAAAAGTGAAATCAATAAAAATAAAATGCTACAAACATGTAACCTTTTAGGTACCCCAACCATCCAATCAGCCAAGCCAATGAAGCATTATTCCAGACAAAGCATTTACAAACACATTAACCAAGTCTAGTTTTATCCAGACTTCCTCTATTATGTTTTTTAACCACATCTGACCAAAACCTAATTCTGATATACAGTCCAGAAATTGTCTGGATAGCATACACCCTGCATATATAATTAATCCACTTCCCTTAATTTCTCATTCCTTTCATTTGCAGATGTAAGATCTCATCTGTTCCTTTTTCCTGCTGAAACTGAACCTGAGAAGCCAATGCACGAAAGTGCTAAGATACCTCTCCTGCCAAAAAACACTTGTATTTGACAAACAGGTACTTGTAAGAGTAATATCTTCACATGCATTATACTGAAACTCTGGACATTAAAAGGAGACTAAGGTATTTTCCTATTTGAATTCAAATATTGCCTTCATTGCTGAAGGACAAAAAAAAAGGGAGTGCACAACACTGAACAATAAAGTGATATCCCTGAAAGAGAAGGGAAATGCTCCATTCACATTGCCTGAAGAGAAGAAAAAGAAATCAACTCCCCCTCACCACACACACACACACACACACACACACACACACACACACACACACACACAGAAAAAGCCTGCAACCAACCAAAAAAAGCCAAACAGGATATAGCTAGGAGAAGAAAACAAGAACAAAATAAAAGAACAACCAAGTGCAATTATTTAATTGCTGCAGTATTTACTTAGTTCTAGCTCTAAGTAATTTGCTGCAGGTCTCCTTAATCTTTCATTTAGGACTAAATTACATAATAACTTGCCAATACACAATTAGAAGTTCACTGAATTTGAAAGAACTTATAGTTTGGTATACAGTTTTCTTCATGCTTCCAGAGAATTTCAAAAATCATGAGCTTCACAGCTGTGAATTCATTTTTAACTTGATGAAATTTCAGTAGAATGATTGTTTAGGAGATGGCTATAATATATTGTGCTCAGTATATATTATAGGTAAACCCAGAACTGGCCAAGGGGATATGCAACTATGAGCATATCTCTTCCACTTCATAGCAGAATACACAGAAATGCAACTATGAGCTTTTCAAGAATCACGCTGCTGTGTGAAGCCAGTGTAACTTCCTGTTGGAAACCAGAAGTGCAGCTAGGTGGATAAGTAGATATGATTAAATTGTTAAAGCAGTACACCTTGTCAAGTGCTGACAAATGCTTTAATAGCTTGCATTAACGAACAGCTTCAGCTTAAAGTGCCAGGTTTCTGTTGCACCAGAACAAAAAAACTTCTTTAAGTTGCTCATTTAACTTTGCACCTCCCTTGGTCTCTCCAAGAGTTTTTTAGGAAAGAGAGCAATTATCACTGAAGAGAGGGATATTTGAGTGTTGGGAAGATAAATCACAAGTGGAGCAGTGTGTTCATAGACAAAAAGTTACGCACTATGAACTGTCTTTCTCCCTACAATGTGCATTCAAGATGCATCAGCTCATTTCCTGAACACATAACAAACCTGTTGAAAATCTTCACCAATCATTTAAACATGTAAAAAATTAAAACATCTTATGAACATATGGAGAAATAGACTGATTAATGAGGACAAATAAACAAGAAAATCCTACTGCTGAGACAATGAGGGAAAGAGAAGAGGCAAGCCATCATAATCAATCCATAGTATAAAGTCAATTCAACTATACTTCTGTTGGATGAAAGCACAAGGAAAAAGATAAGTAAACACATTTGTAAAGGAAACAAAGTGAGTTGTCTTGAAAAAGGAGAAGTGAGAGTTCAGGTTTCTCCTCACTAGGCAGAAATACTAGATGTTCAGTTGGTTTAGGGTTGACTTCTGGGAGCTTCACCTAGATGGTAGCTAATAGAACTAATAGAAGACCATCTTACGTGGTTAATTACTTCCTCAGACTCCCAAATCAAAAAAAAAAAAAGATAGGATGCTGGCATCAGTAGGAAAAAGATCTATCAGCTGTTGTCACAGAATATTGAGACACTGCAGAATATTAATAAGTATTTTTTAAAATTTCTTCCATAACTTTGTTTCCACCTCTGTTCTCAGGAGTACAGCATTAGCTTTAAACAGAAGAACCTGCAGCTCTCAAGAACTACAGGAAGTTAGTTGAAACTGACTGACATGCCCTCAGAGATAAGTAGCCCGGTAGAAACATCAAGGAGGCACACAGCAAGTTCAAGTGAATTAGAAAGGGTCAGGTATCAGGATGTACAGAGTGGTAAGTTGCAAGTTTGGAGGGAAGTCTGATCCTGCAAATGCCAAGTTCTGAGAAAGAGGCCCTTGCAGACCCTAGCTGGGAGGAAAAAGGCAGCCAAGAGGCAGTTCAAAACTCATGTTCTAGGCCCTGTCCCAGTACCTAATGCTATCTTATTGCTTTGGATATGGGAAGAAGCCAACTGTTTAAAGCTATGCTGCAATCATCCAGAATAAAAAATATCTGTCCTAAACTCAAACCCACTGCTAGGATCTAGGTAGGAATGCATTTATGGAGGCTCAACTCTTGAAGAAGCAATTAATCTTCTTAAATAAAAGATTTGACAAGTTGAAGAAGATCATTTGAATTCTCTTGAGAAACCCCTTCTGCACTGGATTATATGACAATAGACCTTGCCAGACAAATTATGCGAGTCCTACATAACCTTATAACCTACTAAATTCTATTGACTTTATCTCCCCTGCCCAAATTACTCATTCTCAAGTCTAATACCTATTGAGGTGGCATTATCAACTGAAATTGCATGGAAACATAAGTAGCCAGGCTTTTCATGGCAGTGTTTTCTTGCATTTATGGATAGTGTTTCATTCCATTTATGACTACCAACACAACAAATCTAACAGGATTTCCTACTTTGGTAATTGTCTGAGCGTGCTGATTTCTTACTAGCAATATTGTTCAAATGATATAGTTATGAAGGACACTAAGAAACAACAAAACAAATCAAGAAAGCTATTACAGTGGCAGAGGAATTTATTTCTTCCTACCTCCCACCAAAAATAATGTATCCTCATTGTTTCAGACTAGTATGACTGTAGTTATTAAGTCATTTTATATGCACATAGATTCATCCCCTTTCTTCATACCACTGTAAAGGCAGAATAAAGGCCTTCTGTGATAAATGCAGACCATAAACCTAATGTGTCCACGATATAAGGGTGACACATGCCAAGAAGTGCCAGATAACTGATGTTTGACTTAAGATCCTGTTTTCTGAATAAGCAATAAGCTATTAGATATCCCATGATATGCCACAAGCAAAAAATACAAGGCATCTGAACACAATAACAGAGGACAATCCTGAGATGAAAGAACTTGGTTAATTCTAAGGTTTTTAAATATATAGAGGAAACCTATAAAATCTTATATGATAATTTCACTGGCTTCAAGCTGCCTACCTGTACAGCAACTCTAGTGTATTTCTCTAAATACATCTACTGAATGACTCCAAGAACTATTCCTAAAAATTACTGCATTTCTTCATCACTGGAGTTGATGGAAATGCATTGGGAAAATCTGGACATCTGAAATGTTTCATAATCTATAAATTTTCCAAATGAAAGAGTTCTTAGCCTCTCAGGGATATAGAAATGTACCATCAGATGAACCATGTAAAGTCAAGAAAAGTTGAAGATCTAAACACCCAAGTAAAATGCAGTTCAAGTTCTAAGAAATAGCAGGATATTTTTCAAATACCAATACATCGTGTCTCAATTTTAATGAGGAACAATAACAAATAAAGGCATAGAAATTACATAATTCATTAGCATTAATGCACAGTAATAAGTAATAAAATTATTCAGAGCTGCAGAGCTATTAATGCCAAGTGATGCAAAAGAAATCAAATGTCTGAAGACAGTATCTCAAGAAAGGGATAAATGAAGATCATGTCAAAGAACATGAGCTGCATGCAAAGCACACTGGTTTACATTTCAAACAGGTAGTACAGTAGTTTTTAATCACAGCATAATAATTTCCATCTTACACAAGGAAGGTGATTTCTCACTGCAGCTTAGCTTCTTTCCACTTGAATTTCCTGGGAGAGAGGATGGTACAAGCATGATCAGATGGCTGAGGAACAAAACCCACCTTCCTCAGACACACTGATCCAATATTTTGACTTAATTTTGGTTCTGAGCAAAGCATACTGCTGGTGCCACAACTGCACACAAACTTGGAACAGAGCAGGGTAGTAGATTCTGCCACGGAAAAGTAGGACCATACAGAAAATGGGGCAGATATAAAGAGGAGACATGTAAACA